TCGATGAAAGCGGGATCGGAGAAGGGAGAGAGAGAGAGCGAAGGGCCGCTCAGACGTTCCGCGGATCGTTAAGGTAGACTGGGAGTGTGCATAGTGAGGTTGAATGAGTAAGGAGTGAGAGAAGGCACGCAATCACACAATGCAAAAGTCTGTAAAACACCACAGAATTCGCACTCGTCCCCTCAGAAGTCACGGTCGATCAAGCGCTTTTCTAATGAGTGACCCGTTTACATATTACATGATCATGTGGCTCCATGCTCGTAGTGATGTGTATCGCCGACGGTCCTGACTACCTTTTGCCGAAATAACCAGTCAAGCGGTCGTAATAGTTAGATTTTGTCAGCCATTACAGCCGAATGGAACATTACGTCTACAAGAAATATACCGAAATGATGAAGTCATCCGCGGGACGGTCTAGCCACTAAATACAATTCTTCTGAGTAGACTATTGGTAAGCCTTCAGTAGTCAGGCAAACGAGATTTCTGCATAGCTTCTCAATATGTTTATAGTCACACACTAAATCATATGCTCTTCCTTTGGCGCGGTCCCTCAATAAAGACGTCCTATTCTAAACCTCAGCTACTACTATTATAGCACTTTGCTCAACACATCAAAGCATGTGAGTTATGATACTAACATGCGTAGCTTACGGTCTCGTATATCTAGTGAGCAATACCCGTGACGACGTCAAGACGTCGATGAAGACGCTGTCAAAGCTACGCAGGAAGGCGGCCGTATATGCGCAAATAAAGTGATTGATCGACGGAAATCACCTTATAAGGTGTGACGAAGCGATCGATCTGTGTGGTTTCCATATATGCTTTTCATGAAGTAGTCCTCATTCGTTGCCTGCGATATACCATCAAATGCATATGGTGTTCGGACTTTGCTTTACATACAGTTGTCCCTCATGCATTTTACTCGGGCGGAACCATTAACTATGTTCAGTTCGGACTCTGCTTTCCATACAGTTGTCCCTCGTTCGTCTTATCTGGGCGGAATCGTTGATTATGTTCAAGTTTGCTTGACATGTTTAAGGAGACCGCAAATGTCAGTCAGGATATCTAGAGGCGTACCTACGTGTAAAGATGTGGGAACGAAATGAATGCGATCGGGAAATTGTTTGGCTGATCATATATCGCGATGCTGAGACCCCAGATACGACGTAGCTTGTTTCAACTTGAGGTTCGAAAATGAATGTGAATGACAGGGTTTCCAGTACCGTTTTACATTTTGTGGTACAAACTGATGGAGCAGTTCGGTCAAGACAGACCTGTCACCGCATAAATATAATGCCAGGGACAACGACGCTGGTCGACAAATTCAGCGTCCAAGTTTGCGACTAGATGTTTAGGGATCCATGCGACTATCAATTTGCGACACCAAAGCGTTCATCAAGCAGTAAAGTCGTTCGAGCTCACCGGTCACAAGACATGTATGTGCATTTTTAATTTCGTCAAATGACCCGCATCTACTGCGTACATGTTCTCTGGTCTTCATTGTTGCAAGAACGAGTTGTAAACTTTCATCATATATTGGCCAAATTGTGGCCTTTTTCATGTTTCCGACACAAAAAACTGTCCCAAATGCACAATGAGCGAATAACGAAACGTTTATGATGTCTTGAACGGTCAGTCGTTGCAGTGCGATCTGATGGTGGCGATTGTTACGTGCTTGGGAACTGCATGCCATCGACTGACCCAGGCAGCGTCTACTCGTTGAGGAAGGCGAAATTGTGCATCCACCGATATCGTTCCAAGTTAGCTGAGTGTAGTCGTTTACTGGCGTTGACGTACCTCTTTGTGTCATGAGAGCGTATCATCACATCCAGTTCGAACATCTGCCAAAGACGCGTTTGGCTTCTCTTGTCAGCAGAAGCGATCGAGAAATCTTTGGCCGGGACCTGCAAGCTTTTTGACACTGGATGCATAACCATGTTGGAGTGAAGAAAGGCTAGGACACACAAACGTTCGTGCGTACTCTTCCGAGCATAGCTCAGAAGCAAAAAGGGTGCTACCGTTTACTGCATTCTTCATCTCGGTTACTCATGACTCCGTAGCATTTGTGCTTGCAAGGTTGCTCGAAATGCGCTCTTTCTTTTGGATTACCACGTCATTTCCATCGGTAAGTGGATGTATTGTACAGAAACGATCGCAACAAGAGCAAGACGCGCAATGCAGTGATACGTACGACACTTCCAAGTCTAAAACATAATGCTGCAGCTAGTAAACACTTTGGCGTTCATAGGCAGAACTCACACTCCTATCGTTGCGTCAGCTAGAGACGCCCAACTCATATGACTTGTAGCGCACGAAAAAAAGGTCGGTCTATAACGGCAGAGCTTTCTCTTCGCATTATTGCCAGTATACTTACTATCTACAAAGACGGCGACGTCTGTTGCTGTGCAACAAGATCGTTAAGAATGATAGAGAACGAACAGGGTGCATCGACGCCACCCATTCTGACCACAGCAGTCAGTGCACATAAATGTGAACAGCCACATCGAGGCACACAGCACGACGAAATGTCTGTACGTTAGGGTGTATGATCATCACAATGACACGAGAGGAGCATTTTGTTCTCCGTGGTGACTTCACATCGCCCGCGATAGTCAAACCTGTACAAATGTTACCACAGCTATTTTTTGTGGGGGCCCACACGCAAAGATGCCGGCAGGAGCGTACTTCATCCATTGAGAGAGAGGAGTGTATGATATCACGTAAGTGTCTTTGCTGCTCTTGCCTGGTACAATACACCCCTTTCTCAAAATGTAGTATGCCAATAGATTCTGGCTGCCGGCGATTCGACGTGTACTCGTACATACACCTTTTCCTCTCTCATGTACGTGAGGTTGGCGTTCGTTGCGCAGTCTACAAGATAATATAGAAAGCCTTTAGCCATACCTAGTAAGGTGAATTAGAAGCTTACGCAAACACTAAACCTAATGAGTAGATGCTCTACATACTTAATACAATTGATGTCACTCATCTCTAGCCACACTTCGCGCCAATTACGATGTGAAGAGTTGATCAGACGTAGAGCCCACCGCCCGGCCAATGAGATCAGAAACTCAGCACTTGACCTCACCGATGTCGTGCGATGACACGCATATAATTGACAATTTTCTACGCTTCACATGCAAAGCTCAAGTCACATGAAGCTCGAGCAAAGCATGGTGCACATGGTTCGTTTGCATGGCCCGCTTCACCCTCGGCACGCACATTCTCGGAGTAATTTGGCAATTGCGTACTTCCGAGCTCGTTTCCCAGAGCTTTCAACGCTGACGTCACGAGCTATTGCATAGTTTGCGGACGTTTCGTGCTGCTGTTGCAGGAGTACGCGTTTGGTTACTTTGTTTGATAGAACGATCGATGCCTGTGAAGTCGCAGTCCTCATATCTGCACTCGAACACGATGCGACATTGACGTTTTCTTCTCTTTCTGACTCTCCATTACACCGTTCACGTCACTTTTACGACCAATAGTTTTGTAAAAACCATATTCGACTAGCGAAATCTCCGTCTGCTCTCGTTGCAGCTTTGTTTGACTGCCTCACCCGTGGCTTTTCTTTGCTCCACGTGGTCCGCGGGTTCATTGTTCACGCACATATTCAGGCAACTGATTGAGGCTCGGGCACTGGATCATGCCGCGATTGCACATAAAAGCTAGTGAGGGCCGATTAGTGGCATCACTGTATACTGCCCAGTCGCCTGACTGGTGTGCTCTTGACATCGTCGTGGTTGGTCGAAACGCACAGACCCCATCTTTTTATCACTCTGAAACATTCCCCGCGTAGAAGCGGTACAGTTTTTGCCAGATCGAATCAAATTGTGGAATCACCCACAATAATTACACACTGATGGCGTATTTGTCCCCCACGACAGCGTTGCATAAACCTCACCGAAACTGTCCTCGCAGCGCTTTACAATGCCACCTTCAAAATAGCACCACAACAGTAACGCAGTAGAATGAACGATGGCTTTTTCGAGCTGTTGCGCATACGCAGAAAGCATACGACGAGCAATCAGGCCTCACGCAGCTTTCAGCATATCTATTTTCCCTTGCGAAAACAAACGGAAGATCCTGTGGCCTGTGACTCTCTTCTCGTCGCAGACGTGTGGCGACGGATATAACATGTATTGCTTACAATGAATGGTACAAAAAGCGCTTGACGCGAAAGAGCGCAACCACCTCGACGTTTGGCTTTCATGTACGTTGATTTCCTTTGCACGCGAGAGGAAACATGTCGCACGAGATGTTTGCCATATCATCCTGCTTGTCGCGTCTACGGACCACACATGCAGACACGAGTGTCGCCATCTCTGGCCTGACTTGTTGATCTTTTGTTCGTCTTCGCCGTGGCACCACACGATTTTTCCTCGCTACTGGATCTCACGCCGTAACACAGAAGCCGAGCAAAAAGCGCGTTCCAGCATCCACCCACACACTACAACGCTAATCTATTCACTCACAGGTCCTTTCAACTACCAGACAGCTAACCGACGATCGCCACACACGTCCTTTGATATTTCTGTATCTATCCCATTCACATCCATCGCTAGCTGCCAAGCATCCATAGCTATCGAGCATTCGTTCAAGTAGCCAACAGTCACCGTGCCTCCACTTGATCAGGTTGCACCTTTGCCACGCAAGCACGTGCGTCTCTTCTGTTCCTCATCACAGTTTCACACGGAAACCACGTCTCGTTGCGTCAGCTGCCGACCGCTCCATGACCGTCCGCGGACTCCATCGCCATGACCCCCTTTCGCTCTCGCGTCAAAACCGTCTCTCTGGGCGCACACGGCCAAACATGGAAGAGCGACAGGTCCACCCCCTTGTGCGCATTCTATGGGTCCACTTGTGCGCACTCTCGAGGATCCACTTTTGCGCACTCTCGACTCACTTTTGGATTTGCGCACTCGGACACAGGTCCAATCACATACGCGCGCGCTCTGTAGAGAGGGACACTCACTCGCTCTCGCTCGTTTCCCTTCCTCTTCATGACTGACAAGCGGCAGCTGTCCGCTCGCTGCAGCAAGGGTCCGTACCGAGCAAAGCGCGCGCTTGCTTTCGGCAGTCCGTCCTCGAGCACCGCCGTGAGCTTCGTCCGTCCTCGTCTCTCGCCAGTCCATCGAAAGAAAAGAGCGCCTACTGACGCTGATGCTACTGATGCTGCTCGTACTGCCTTGACGTTCTTGCAGAGTGCACGGGACCGCAACGTGCCAGTTCGCTACGGCAAGTGGGGTCGCGAGGAAGACGCGTACTTGGAGAAGCTCCTGACGCTCTTCCAAGACGGCGTCCTCGCCAACGTGACGGCCAAGACGACCCTCCGTTCGTGGCTCGCGCACATGCTCAACTGCTGTCCCATGCGCATCTCCAAGAAGCAAATGCACGGCCGCCAGTTCGAAGGCAAAGCCAAGTACAAACGCCAGAGCAGCAACGTCGACAGCATGACACAGACGCAGTACGACCGCTTATGTACCGAGCTCTGGCACGCCCGCGCCGAGTTCCTCAGAGCATGGGCTAACGACGAGTACGCGAGACGCAGCGCCAAGCTCCGAAGATCGACAGACGCGACGTTGACCGACTGGTACGACAACGTCCTGCGACTTGTGCCAACGCCCGTGATTGCAAAGCGATCGAGTGTCGTCGAGTGCACGGAGAGGAGAACACCAGTCGAGGAGCTGCGTCAGGAGATGCAGACGGACGCAAAGCGACAGAAAGTCGAGACGCTCGCAGAGACTCGAGCGACGACGTCACTTGAGGCATCGGCACGGCCACCAGCATCGCCATCGCCAGCTTCAATATCGGCGAGTCAAGAGCCACTGGATACACTGGACGAGCCATGGCAGGTTCCGACACTTCTGGCTGAGCCGTCGACTGCAGTTGTGACGGCTCTGCCGACTGCGTACTGCACCGACAATAAGTTTGACACGATGACGATGGGCGATTACTGGCTCCACGACTTGGACGAGCGGCAACGTGCGGCACAGTGGGCAGCTGACATCTGGCAGAGTCGAGAAGTCGTGCGAGACGCACCAAACGACGTCGAGATGCACGTGTCGTCACACGTGTGTGACCAGCAGCAGAACGCCGAGCTCTTGATGTCGCGAGGCGCGTCGCGAGTTTTCATTGACTTCGGAGCTCCAAGTTGCTGGTATGCGGGTGAAGAGCCGAAGCGCGCACAAAGTGGCGACTGGATGGGCAATCACGACCTGACCGCAGACAGCCTCGCAATGAGTCTCGAGCCGAACGACGTCTTTGGCTGGGGCGAGTCGTCGCCAGTTGCGTCGATGGCGTACAGCCCGACACTGCAATTCTTGTGAGAGCTGTTCCTGGCGGAGGGAAAACGCCCATGCGTTGGCTTTTATACACAAGCGCGGAGTGCACGCGCTCGCAGACAGACAGACAGACAGACAGACGACATGTGGAAGTCCCTCGTGTGCTTTTGTGAGAATCTTTCCCTTTTCTCTCTTTTTTCGATCGTGCCTGTTTCGGGCAGTAGAAAAAGGAAGCAGTGTCTTTGTGGTTTCGTAATTAACGTGTGCTGTTTTACATTGGGCAACTCGGACTCTCGTAGCTTTTCGTGGCAACCTCCTGCACATGGCGTCATCACGTCACGTGCGCAGCTTCCATCTTCGCGGCCTTTCGGACCGTTTTCTCAGCCTTGACACGTTCAGTAATTGAATCTGCGCACTTCCATGCGCGCATCGAAGAAAGATCTCGCGCAGTAGCAAAGCGCGTTGCGATCTTTTCGCATTTCGGACGGGTGTTGATGCGCACATGTCATGCACGACGCGATATCACTCTGTTAACGTCAGAACCCAAAGCAAAGTGGACGAACACATGTGATGCTCGTGTTTTGTGTGGCTGTATATGGAGCACGTTGCCCCATACGCGGTGTTTCGTGCAGTGACTTACCTCTGTTGCTAGCTGCGACTGCAACGAACCCACAGGACTACGAAGCTCGTATGCCGTGTGGCCAGAACATAACCGAAGCTGGTGTAGGGTGAGCCATGACTACTTGATCGGGAACGAGGCTAGCGTTCATTGCACGCTGGCCAATGATACGATGCCTGCGTCACAGTTACGCTGGACGTATACAAAACACGGCAACATACAACGCGGAATACGAGCGATCGATCACCTCTTCACGATCTGACGCCTTGCTCGAAAGCGCAGGTAAAGCACGTCTTACTAGTGAACAAATGACAAGACAACGATCCAGTAAGAGGTCTAAAGCTTATGTAACACGTCTTACTAGTGGACAAACGACGGATTGGCGATCCGGTAGAGGTCGAAAGCGTTGTTAAACTACCGCATGTTCAGACGAAGACGGCATATCTCCGCTTCTCGTCTTATACCGATTACTGCAGTGTGCTTGTGGTGAAAAAGAATGCTGTCTGTCTATCTGTCATGCAAAAGAAACGACGTGACAACGAAGACACGGGCACGACAACACGCACTAAGTCGTGTCGCAGCAGTCGTTTCCGTCTCTCAGCATTTGCATTAGCAGCTGAGCTGTGTCCATGTAAGCAGAGAATGTAGTGCCAGCCAAGCACAAGTGTAGCCGTGAGACGCTTTCGGGAGAATGAAAACGGGGGAAACGCCGGTCACAATACACGCAAATGCGTGTCATCTACGCGCTGACTCCATTTCGCGAACAACGCACTGCATACTGGTACTTCAGTCATCACTTGCGGTGAAACTCGCACACAGTCTCGACTGCGCTAGTCGTCTACGAGCATGTACTCGGCGCTGTCCGTCTTACCACTTTCCGCGACCATGGTACGCTCTTTCTGCTGCACGGCTGCAAGCCCCTTGCTGGAAATGAGTTCCAGCATGTATGCTGCAAACTCGTCGAGCAGCACAGGCCATGCGCCGTTTTCGTCATAGTTGCTCAAGTCCGGTTCAATCTGAAGGCCAAAGTCCAGCACCTGAAGCCACAAGTCCTTCGATACGACACTGCGGGAGTTTTTGCGGGCATACTGTATCCAATGGCGGTGCCAGCGGAAATGTCCAGGAAGGAGCAACTCCCAAAGGCCAAGAGCCAGCTCCAGGGCTAAACTCTTCTGAGTGGGATCCTTCGAGAAGCCATATGTGAACTGCACAACCACGACAACCGTGCTGAGCTTTGTCCATAGTGTCTACCCTATCTCTTTTAGCGACGTAAGCGACGTACCGAATAAATAGTAGCAAAGTGGGCTCGATCTTGCATCTGGCTACGCAGACTTGATAGCTTACCACGTAGATCTTCAATCGAACGACACTGTAACTTGTGCATTCCACGCCGAAACTCTGTGCGTGTGTAAATGCCCATGGTCTCGGCCTCCATCGCACAGCTCAATGCCAGCATCACGGGGTCCTGGGCGTCGACACCCAATGCATCACACAATGCCAAGATCCCGTCGTCTGTGATTGCCGCCTCTTCTGCCGGCGGATCTTCGGATACAACGTCCAAACAAACGTATAATTTCCATCAACACGTCAATAGCTCACGTGTTTTTCGCAGCTCTTTTGTATCTGTCGTACCTAAAAAGCACGCAAACACTGCATCAATCGCAGCAGTGTCCTGCTTCTCAAGCTTTTGCTTCTTGTCCGCGCTGTCCCTCTCGACAACCTGCAATAGCCAGCAGATTGGTAACGATGATAAACACACTTCAAGTCAGCGTCTGAACTTGATGATAGACAAAGCACGAGCTTCTCTAACATTCGTGCCCAAGCTCCTTTTTGTGCTGCACTTGGGACCGCTCTGATGGGTATTGGAATGCTCCGTCATGTCCATCGTTGCCACATCAGACTGGTACGTTGCATTGGCCTTGATCCGCTCCACTAACTCTGCCTTACGCCCGCTCGTGCGGATACCTGTGACACGACATGTCGAGTCATTTCGACCTTTTCTAGCAAAATACCTCTCAAATATAATAACGTCGCACTCGAAATAAAAGCAACAACACCCACCAAAAGTGCGGCAGATTTCCGTGAGCTCTTTGACTCGGAGACTGGAGAGGTCCATGACTCGCTGGACACTACACACGTGGGCTACAACGACAAGAAAAGAGACGACACACAGCGCAGTTTAGCGATCGATCTCCACGAAGAGAGTTGACGCGATGTCCAACAACGAGAGAACGACGGCGACAGGGCATCTTCACCATACTCGCACGCAATTTGGTCGTTCTCGCAAAATTTGACTGCGGTCAATGCAAGGGACAGAGGTCAGAAAAAAAACAAGAAGCCGTCTGGGACGATGGACATGAAGCGCTTTCTAGATTTAGAAACTGTGGCGAGTCGGATTCTTTGACAAGTCTATTTCTTTTGTACCTCCTGACTGTGTCGGGGAATACTGTTGGAAACCCGTCGATACCGACGTATCTATCGAAAACCTCTTTTCGCGTGCAGCCGCGGTATAAGGCGGGAATGTTGTGGTACATGACGGTATTGTAGGAGTACCAACTTTTGAGGCAGTCGAGAGCAATGATCACTTGTGGTGTTCGTAGTGAACAGTTCGAAACTCAAAAGCAACAAATGTTACGGTAGATGTTAATCGCCCCATTGCGTGCACCGCACAATGTCGTCCGACGGTGCTGAGACGTTTCGTTCGTGCTCCGATGATTGCAGTGGCGATGAAGATGTATGGGCAATACACACACGACCGGCTAGACGCAAAGCCGCGCTCTTCATGAGTTTTTCGATACGGCATCGGCTCGACGTTGTCGTTAAAAGATCAAATCACAAGGTTTGACGCCGTCAGAGGGGGTGAGTAGCTCAGCTACAAAAGCACGTGCTACCGCTGTTTAAGTGGACTCTTCGCTCACAATGCAGCAAGTTATTGGGTAGACTAAAGCAGATTGGACAGCTGACCATACTGGAGCTAGTACGCGAGACTCAGGAGAGCCCGCGCATTCCTTCGGCAATTTGATCGCAAAAGACGAACGGACAATGTTCGTCTTAGTACAAGGAGTATGGGCTTACCGGCGAGCAGTGTTACGACGAGGAAATGCTGTATCTCGCAGACCTCCCCGACATGTATGCAAAGCCAAAGAAGACGTGTTGTCGACGGTGACATGAACACTGCCAACAATCCGTCTTTTTCAGCTTTGCATACATACATATCAGGGGTCATTGTGCGCTAGCATTTCCATCAAGACGTTCTCAATCGAGGGAACATGATATGGACGAATTACGAGCACGTGGCAGCTCATCGTATCGTCGCAACTGTCCCATGCGCACACATCCGCATACACTACTATCAGTGCGCTTGGGGTGGAGCTGCTCAAGGCGGTTGCTGGTGCAGCCAGCTCCAGTAACAACGATACGCGTTCCATCCGTTCGACGGCAAGCGAAACGAGTCGTCTCGCTTCACCAATCCACTTAGGCGGTAATGAACCGCGCACTTGTACTTCCACTTTGGCTCTTCCATGTCGGCTGCCTGTTGCTGCTCGACGTGACGAGATTGTCCCACCTGATCTCGGACACTGCCTGACCCGACGCGATGCGACGCGCGTGATCTCGAAAAGTCGAGATCCGCGGACGACCCGACCCCGCTGAGCGTACCGTATCACACGCGGTACAGAGCAAGGCGCCAGTGGCCCACTGCCACGCAAGTCGCACACAACATTCCGAGTGCAAACTCGACGCGACCGACTCCGTCTCAGCTGTCAGTCAGTCAGTCAGTCAGTCAGTCAGTCAGTTGTCCTCAACAATGGCTACAACCCCACGGAGCTGCTCGCCAGTGTCGTCCATGTCGACATCGTCGTCGCCGTTCGCCTCTGTCGCTGCGCCTGCGTTCCGTCAGGGGATCCGACGGCGGCGGGACGGACCTCCAGACGTGGAGATTCAGGAGTTGGACTCCCGTACCATGCGACAGAGCGCCTACAATTACTTTGAGCGCCACGCGGTCGTGCCGTCTCTCCTGCGCACGTCGACGTTCCACTCGGCGCTGGGCCGCAGCGAAGCGTCGTCCAAGCGGCAGCGCACACTCGCCGAGCACTTGGACAACATGTGCCTTCAGGACCGCAGTCCGGACAGCGTGGGCTCAAGTAGAGCAGCCGTGGCGAGCAGAGACGCGCAGCAGTACAGAGAGTGTGCCCGGGAGGGTCTGCTGTTGGCCGACTATGACGCGCGTGGACAGGAAGGGAATGCGTCGGCGCGGGGCGCGAGCGGCAGCGCGAGCGACGGTGCAGTGGACCACGTGGAAGAGGGCGTCCAGACAGTGGCGGAGCTCGGGCGACTGCGTCGGTTCTTTGCTGCTCACGGCAGCGACCGGCGTCGGTCCATTGACCGCATGTACCGCCACTATGTAACGGCACTTCCTCAACCCGCCGCGACGACGGGCTTGCAAGGCAATGAGCTCGTGGTGTTTCGACCACGAACGACGGCGACTCGTGGGAGTGACATGGCAGCGTACCTGTCGCTCACACCGCATGACTTTGACAAGTTGTCGACCGCTGAGAAGCGACAGTGGTATCAGGCACACTGTCGATTCATGACGGAACTCGATGCGGCGAGTGCCGCGCACAAGAAAGACGACGACATGGCTCTTTTGTTCGACGTGGAGCACATGGAATTGAACGAGAGGCGCTGTGTTCCTCCTGAACACGCGATGGCAAGTTTGAGCTCAAGCTGCGCGCATCAGGTACTTGAGGCGCCCAGCGACGTGGAAATGATGGAGGTTATCGAACAGGACGTGGCACCCAAACGCCGTCCACAGGCTGCAGGCGCTCTCACGCACACCGAGTGGTTTGCCGACGCTGATCTGTGAGGTGGCAGTGGGGAAGAAATGACGGCCAAAGCCGCTCGGGAACTATGCAATTCATGTTGGCGAATGCACGCGACGTCAATGACTCGTTCGACCCACTCGCTGTTGTGTGAATCGATTGCGCTAAGCTGTTACTGCATGCGGAACAGGAGCCACAGTAAAAGTGGGAATATGAAATCCGTTTGAACTGCCGGGTCAAGTGACGTTTGCAAATGTCTGCGTGTACTTTAGTAAGTTACACATACAACCGTACAATGATAATCTTTGATGCCTACCATCGTTTTCGCTTAGAGCTTACGATCGATGACGGAAGCGCAGTTGTTGCTGGTCCCGTGTAAATGCCAATTGTATTGACGTTGAGTGAGCCAAGTCGGAGATTACGTATCGTCCTTCCACGTCTCTTCAACAATAGTGCTGTCAGCTCGAAAACACGCTGAACGCGCTTCGCGTTCCTCGCAGTTGTTTGGTCCTCTGCACATCGACAACCTGAGCTTTGACTTAGCAGCCGAACCGCCTCACCTCTTTTTCACATCCACGTTGCGCTTAACAAATGGTTCGTATCATTCCACTATCTTTCATCGTGCAATAGCCAGCAACAGTTGGTATATCATGAGAGCTTCAGTCGTTGCACTTACGACTACCGCTCACGTCGTACTCAATTCGCGCCCTTCTAGACGGTCTACAAGCGTAAAGGTGATATGTACCTTGGCGGTCAGGTCTTATCGACAGCGTCTGCGGTAGGAGAATTCCAACACGCTTCGCTTGTGTGGCATGCTTTTTTTGGCAAATTGGAATGCACCTGGTGCGCCGTTCTCCAGTCGATGCAGACCAGCTGTCTTTGACGAGGGTTCACGAAGGCCGGCTGCTGCTCCACCACTGCATGACCATCAATCGTGCTACAACGACCGAAAAAGCATGTGCAAGCATTGTGATCCTGCATACGGTAAATTAGTATTTGCAGTCGCACCGATTCGTTCCTATCGACGTATTCGGCATCGCTTGTGCTGCGCGAACGATCGATACAAATCTTCTTGTCTGGTTCAGTTTCGTGCCGGGGAGCATAGACAACTTTTTCGATTGTTTGCGAACCGTTCCAACCGGGATTTGACTAACACACACTATAGCAATCGTGTCGGCGAGCGGAGAAAATCAAAGAGTTAGCCCGCAATTATGTTAATGGCATCAGTGGAAGCAGGCACTACAGTCGTTGTCATTTCATTTGTGATGCAGGAAGTTGGCGGTCTTGATCTGGACGCTACCACTGATGATGACAATGAGTTGCACTGTTTGCAGACTGACTGGCTGGCTTTATACAATGCCATCTAGCCTGAGATAAAGTTGCAGTCACCACTGCACGTAGAGTAGTCGGTGGGTATGTTGGCCTGGTACTTAGGACAGTCTGAACGGCAGTTACTGCAATGACATGTGCGGATCTCATCCATCTATGCCTCGCAAGATACACAGTGGGCTCCAGTCAGCCCATTTGCTTGCTATTTACTTGTCCGACGCTTCACTCAGCCCATCACATCATAATGAAGAGCGTGATGACAAGGACAGTATTGGTACGCTACGGCTCTGCGCAGCGGCATTCATAGGTGTCGTTCACTCTTCGTAACAGCTCTTCGTCATACACTCGTCACCTCGCTTTAACAGCGAGATAGAATATGACTCAATGGATATATTTGTCTCACAGTACCGTTTCGCTTCAGGCGTAGGCTTCGGATTGAAACTACCATCTGAGGGGCATCATACTTCGTGCTGATGCCGTTCAGTACGTGCACAGCAGGCTGCAATAGGAACCCTGGGTGTAGTTCTACTTACAGGTGAGAGAAAAAGTGAATGTGCCGACTACAAACTTCCTCCTCAGAGGTGCAGTCTGACAGGTTGATGCTTCAATCGCGTACGAAAGCGGGATTGTTGTGAACAGAAAGATGTTCCAGTGGTTGCCCTGACAATATCGGAGGACAGGGTACATGTGCACTCACGATGATGCAGTATACAGCAACAGGTTGGACCAGACTTGCTGACCACATCTGGACTGCTGGATGCAAGAGTTGCACTCATCTGGATGATGAGACTGCAGCATTTGCAGTGTGGTGCCTGAGGTACTGCATGCAACGGTGAGCTTATTTAGGTCCATAGTTCACAAGATACGCTTCTCTTAGCCTACATGGTTGGTACAAAATTTTTTAGTAGACTTTTCCGTGGATTCTAGGCTGAAGAAATCAGTGTACGCAAACAAGCGGCATCATTCGATTGCAACCCAATCGTCTGCACAATCTAGGTCAGTCTTGAAACTCTTGTTAAAGTTGCTGACACAATTCGCATGAAGTGCTTGAAAAGATTGTCTCCTGTAGAGTCAACTGCATAATATGTTGGCTTGTGAATTGTTGCAAGTGCCACAACACGGCTTGGCACGTACAATAGAATCTGTGTGAAAAGAGTAAACTTCATTAAATCTCAGTTTGACGGTACATTACAACCATACATTTTCCCTCCAGCGAGAAGCGTTGGCTAACTTTTTCTGAGATTAGATCTTTATATTTGCTTACTGCCGGCTATCTAGTCATTGTCGGTCGAATCTGGGAGCTGCAACCTAGTCCCAACTGTACTTCGGATACGTGCTGTGAAACAACTAGATCGCCATGTTTTCTCTTAGTCAATCAAATTCTATTGGATAAATACATTGAGCATCAACATATTGCACCTTTTCCGAGCTGATCTCACTATGCTGAAATTAGTCTCCTTGTCGTGACAATTCCTCTAGTTATCTAGGTAACTTCGCCGTTCAAAAATTTCTCGTCACTAGCAGTCCGTGAACTACATCATCTTGCCTAGCAGTCTCGTTGCTCTCAAGTGTAACGTAATGGTGCGGCGCCCAACGAGAACATCGTTCGATTTGGTCGAATGATCATAACGCTGCCCCACATCACGGGTACTTCGGTATAGCCACGTAATTTACACGCTGTGGCTCCTGATAAACGGACCAACTCTTTTCATTATAGGCTTTCGACGCCACGAACAGAGTCAAATTTAGTTGTATGTTCGTATGTACGTGCTTTTTTTACCATCTACGCAACGATGAGACCCATGAAACGCTACATTTTGTACGATCGCCAATCCCACCAATCCTACTGCGCCTTGTGACTCGTATGAAAGTATTTGTAGAACCGTATCTCTGACAAGTCAATGCAATATTACAGCAGTAGAGGTCACTTCCTTATTCTTATTTATGTCATGAGGTTACGCTGTCTCCATCGTCGGATATTACATTATTTATTTTATTGCTTCTAGACACTAGCAGCCTTTGTAAGAAGGTCTAGTCGTTCGATATAACATAGCAATCATTCGACCATCACTATGCGTCGCAACTTCAATGTTGTAATAGGAGAAAAATAGATAGCTAGATGATGAGGCAATCTGTGTCCGTGCGTCTTTCCGATAAACATTTATCCACCTTACGACGATACGCTTGCCCTTGCTTTAACCATGCGCATTTGACGTTTGAAAACTGACGCGGACAGCTATTACTTAAACATATCTCAAAATAAATAAATGTCATTCTTGTGCATTTAACAATGCATAATAAGACCACTTAACACGATTCGGCAACATATATGTTATCCCTTCGCTTACCCCAAGTTATCTTTTGACTTTGACATTACCTTAGATGTTGTACACCGCTGATACGCGATAATTAGTCTTTGCTCATTGCTCCTTTATCTTTGTTGTCGATTTTGGTTATCCTTCGCACATTCATCGATAAGAAAAAATGTTGTACGGTATTTGATATAATCACGTAGGGACAAATTTAAGCTTGCTGCAGTATACAAATCGACTTCATCAATTCAGCATTTAAATGAGGATGCTCACGATTCTATATGCTTTTACAGACAAAACGGCGTCCGCAAGTTCCTCAAAATCAATGTATGACCTCGACTTTCCTTGGATAGCATTCATGTGCTATTCCTTCTATCGACAAGAAACAAAGTTTATGCCCTCACGCTCAATCACCAGGAGATTTGTGATGGACCTGAAACTTGGCTCCCTATTTTTAAAACTACGGATTTTCAAGAGTTGTCGATAAGTAGATCTTAGCATGGTCATACATGGCAAAACTTGTCATCACTCGCTTTTACGCACTTCACTAGGAGTCCGACTGAACATGTAAGAATTCGTGCTAGCTCAACAGTAACATCGTCACTTGGTTTAGCAAGTAAGGTTTCTTTGAAATACGATAAATATTGTAAATGGATGCAGCATTCATTAATGCTGTGCGTAGAAGGTGTTACCAAATACGCTGGTATAAACTCAACATCGCGAGCCATACCTGCGTTCCTAATCATTGTGATCGGTTTTTATTTAGGAAATGAAAATGAGGTTGAGGAGGCTAACCCTGTCCGCCGTATGTCATAGATCTTGCTGCCGCATCATTATTGGTCGATTGATTGAATCCAATGCCACAGGCTAATTTGGTACGAGCAAATATCTCGTAGTTAGAAAACTATGGATTGCATGCGAGTAGATATCTTGTGGTTCGATACCTCGTATTAATATGAAATTAATTCAATTCACTATACCGTATGCATATCACCTGGATGAATTTTGCTTCATTGTATATAATATTTCGATATACGTGGCACCCTTGGTGCTTCCATTACCGTTTCAAATGCAGAAAGATGAACGTCCACCTTTTTTTTAAGAAAGATGAGATCCAAACATCGTTTTGAGTCGCAAGGAGACAGGAATCTGTCGACAACATTTTAGTAGCTAAGGTTAAGAGGTCATTTTTTCGTAAAATTACAAGGCTGCATGATCGTCTTCCAGACACGCCTTCTCTTTCTACTACATATCGAATGTAAGGACGAAATATCTGATTGATATTATCCAATATAATAGTCTCCATTTACGTCCAAGCTTGTTTAAGAATATCGATAAGTTTGGACAATCTATAGCATCAAGTTTGTGTTTCTCTGGGTTACAGCAACAAATTTTACAATAGC